GGGGGCAACAATCGTGCCCTGGGCCCACAATGCAATCTGCTTCTCAATAACGAGCAGAACAAACATCAAACGTGCTTCCCGATCTCACTTGTAGAACTCAAAGTCAGTGTCAGGCTTCTTCACATTGGTTCGGTAGCCTTTCTCGAAGTCCTTGGGGAGAATGACATACCTGTTCTTGCGCACTGCATGCATGCCTGCTTCTTGGCAGATAGCTGCGATCTGTCAAATTGCCATTCAATTGCAAGTAACAGTTAGAAATTTAGTCAGGGCCCTAAAATAACAGAGGCATGGGGAGGGGAATTGATGGAAACGATGAAATCAAAAAAATACTAATTGGCTGTAACCCTCCCTCCCATTTTGAAAGAGCAGTGGCTTCCGCTTTTGAGATGCTTTTCAAAAGTACATTTACCTTGAAAAAATCAAATTGATGCTTCTTTTTTTTTAGCGTTTTTTGATGAGTTTAATGTAGTGATATAAAAAATAAAAAACAATTTTCTGAGAAAAAATCATTTTGATGTATTTTCAAGTGAAAAATACTTAAAAAAAACACCATGTATCACAATACTAAACACGTAATCTCCAACTTAAACCATTGTTAAAAATCTTAACAGACAAGCCAAGGGCCCAAGGGAGAAGAGCTGGCCAGACATTGAAAAGTTAATTAAATTCCAAATGCAAAGCCACAATTATCCAACAAAATATAAGGATACGTAACCCTAATCCAAAAGCTTTTGCTGCATCACTTTCCTTTTAGTGCAATTTTCTGGTAGGATCACTACATAATGCAAGAGTTTTTATGAATTCTAATTACTGGTTGCCAGAGACAATTAGAATCACCACATTATCCTCTCATTTCCTCGACAAATAGCATCTTGTAAGAAATTATCAGCTTGCCACAGACATCTACTAATTCTTACGACCCTATCCATAACATAATAAAAAATATACTGTTTTAACATCATATCCAATCTATGATTTCTACAAGACTTCCTTTCTCTCTTTTTTTCCCCAAATACAACCCAAAACCTGAATAATCATAAGATCTCCATAGGGGAGTACCACTAAAGAAATCAGGTGAAATAAAACATGCAAAATGAATAGGACATAAAATGATGGGATTTCAAAACAAAACAAGTTACTAACAATAAATTGCAAAACCTACTAACCTCGGCAGCACTAATTTTATCAGGTCGAGACACATAATCCTCCATGTCCACCTCATCACTTAAATTCATTTTTGCAGTGCAAACCTGTATAAAAACAAACCAACTCAGTCAATTTAACTGGTATCGAACCAGAGATCAGAACGCCAATATATTGTAAAATAAGGTGATGAGAAACAACAGCATCAGAGCATAAGAGGAGGTTCAAAAAGGACAGAATCATCAATCTTACAAGATAAGAAAAACAACATATTGCCACTTGAAACACAAAAGGAAATTACCTGGAAAACGAGCCTCTTTTGCCGTCTATCAGGCAAAGGAAATTCAATTTTCCGGTCAAGTCTTCCAGGACGAAGAAGAGCAGGGTCCAAAGTGTCAGCCCTATTAGTTGCCATTATGACCTTAACATTTACCGTCTGATCAAACCCATCCATCTACAGCAGAATTCAATCATGAACAAAAGTTCAGAATTGGTCAACCAACATAACAAGCACATCATCAATAAGTTATTTAAGTAAAAAGACAAGAGTTACATGCCAGACCACCAGTACATGTTGAGTGTGAATTACCAAAAGATTTCCATCACTTGTACCTGATTCAGTAGTTCCATCAGAATGCGCTGAACTTCTCTATCAGCTCCAGTTTGGGCATCAAACCTAGCAGTAGCAATAGCATCTACCTCATCAATAAAAATAATTGCTGGGGCGTTCTCTTTAGCAAGACGAAAAACATCACGAACCATGCGGGGTCCCTGGAATAAAAGAAGGGAAAAAATATATTATATTGCAGTGCATATGTAGGCAATCATCACCAACTGCTTAAGACAATGATTCTGCATTTAATTACTCAGATGCTTATCACTTAAGAAAACATTAAAAAAGGGGGATATGATACAAGAGTGAATGATATGGTTCTATCTATATCAGGACAGAAAACTAAGTTCAGATGCTTGGAACTTTCATAAGAAGTGCTAAAACATGGAAACAAATTTAACACATGTGCTGATGATAACTCCAAATAATTGAGCAGGACAGGAACGCGCAAAACATACCTCACCCAGATACTTCTGAACAAACTCAGAGCCAACAACTCTTATAAAGGCTGCAGTTGTATGATTAGCAACAGCCTTGGCAAGCATAGTTTTTCCAGTTCCAGGTGGACCATGGAGCAACACACCTCGAGGGGGGTCAATACCAATTTGTTTGTAAAGTTCATGGTGAGTCAGTGGCAACTCAACTGCCTCACGAATTTCCTGCTTTTGAATGTCACATCCTCCAATGTCCTGGCAATACCATAGAAGAAAAGGGGAGCATGGGTGAGTTGAGGTTGAGTTCTTAAACTCAAACAAGAAACTAAAGAGCACAACAATATTAATATTCAGCTAGCAGCCTATATCACTTGATCACTAGTGCAAGAACATGCTAAGAATCAAAATAAAAAAAGTTCTCTAGATCTCAATAGTACAAAAATCCCGAACCAACAATCAAAAATCAGAAAACTTAAGGAGCCCCCGTCAGCAAAAAAGTACAAAAAAACTAATCAAGCTGCAACAACCACAAATAATAAAGCATCATTTTTCAAAACCTCAAATTCAAACCCCTACCTAATTAGTCACCACTTTGGGAATACAACAAAACAATCTAATTTTTTTTTTCAAACCCTAACTACAGAACCCCTAGCTACTCGAACATCAAATTAGTAACTAAGAAACCCCAAAACCCAAAAAAAACCAAAATTTCAAAACCCTAGCTACAGAACCCCTCTACTCAAACATCAAATTAGAAGCTAAAAAATCCCAAAACCCACCAAAACTAAAATTAAACTTGAACCTTATATTATTAAATAACTAACATCAACTTAGCTAAATATAAAAACTCATAAACCAAATTCACAAACCCTAACCTCCAAATCCCAATTCAAAATAAACCCTGATTTCATAAATTGAACTCTAGCAAACAAAGAAAAAACTACGCTTAACCCCAACTTACCAAACCTAGCTAATCAAATCACAAAATCACCAATTTTAGAAAACCCAAATCCAAAACCCACAAAAAAAACTTTTTCACTTACATTATAAGTAACATCAGGTTTCTCACTCTGACTAAGCAGAGAAATACTAGAATCAGCCTCAGGTGGCAAAACATCAACAAGAGCATTGGAAGCCCGATGCAAAGCCACAGAAGCCGACGGCTTCAACAATTCCCTATCAATCGTACTCAAAATTCTCACATAATAATTCGAACCCGTTGTAGACCCAACAATCCCATTAGTCTGATCCACCATCTCCATAAACTGCCCGATTACAAGCGGCACAGACTGGATCCGCTTCACCTCTTCTTGCGCACGAAGTAGCTCTCGCTTCAGATTCTTCTGCTCATCCTTGACATACTCCTCTTGTATGTCGATGAATTCTAGCTGTCGTTGCAGAGATTTTAAGCGGCTGTAGAGGTCGTCGTCTTCCGTGGGTACTGTTGTTGGGTCGGGTACAAGGTCCCATCTTGGCTCCACCGTCGGAGCAGGCTTCGGGTCAAGTACCATTGTCGACATGATGCGTTTATTGCGAGAGAGAGAGAGAGAGAGAGGGCTGGGGTGCAAAGCAAGAAATCTGAGAATGTTCTCTTTATAAACGGAGAAGGAGATTCTGAAAGGTTTTAGATGGGCTGGGGGGAAGTCTTTGGATGTTAATGGGCTTTGAGTTTAGATTCAGGCCTTAGTATTGTTGGATGGCCTTTGTTTATTTCATTTTTTTTTATATATATTTATAGAAATTATAAAATAAATGATTGAATTATGAGCTCCAAGGGAGAGTAATTTAATTCAGTTAATGTTTTTAAAGAAAACATAAACCTTATGAACTTCGAGTAAATTAATTGAATTATCTAGAATATTTATAAAAATTAATACAAATTAATTGAATTAAATAAATCTTTTAAAATTTTAAATAATTATAATTAGAGAATAAAAACATCATTTTATTTCGGTTCTAAAATATAAAAACGCTAAATTTTTTTCTGATAATTTCAATTTCTTTGATAAATATATAGTAATTATAAAATAATTAATAATTTTTTAAACTAATTTGAGTGTTGTAGTTATTCAATTAGATGTTTTTTTTTTAAAAAAACATACACCTTTTTTGCCATCATTTAATAAAAATTATAAGTTTTAAAAATTTTTATATCATCACTCCAACATTAAAGTAAAATGATTTTTAATTCTCTTTTTCAAAGATCTATTTTTTTTAATTATTATTATCGGTTAGTTGTTAGATTTAATAACCTGAATTAAACTCGAGATTACAAGTTTTTTAAGTTACGGGTTCAATAACTATTCTATCTACATTGCCTCCTGTATTTTGCTCAAAGGTAGACATGGAAAATTAAAAGAGTTGTTTACCAGCCAAGAAAACAAGCACATGCACTACTATTTTCCTGAGCCAACGATGATCACAGGTAAACTTCGAAGAAAAGAAGGCAGAGATTCCAAACCATTGCTTCAGATGGAGCACAGATTCTACTAATGAAGATACTGAAAGTACAAAAAGGGGAGGATACATGCCATCCTCCGAAACAAAGCTACTTGCAGTGAACTGATGAGTCCTGAGCAGATGTCCAAAGAGAAGCTAAAATCCGGAATGGCATACAGATTCTTCAGTGCCATATGCGGTTATATCTCTTCCTTAGTTGTAGAAATCGAAGTCGGTTTCGGGTTTCTTCACATTGGTTCGGTACCCTTTCTCGATCGGATGTTCATGAACTCCACCTGCTTTTGGCATGATTTTAAGTTGCTGTAGGGATTCATTATTGGCTGCTCGCTTCTGTCTGGCTAGCTCGAGTTCTTTTATAGCTCCTGCCTTGCGTTTAGGGTCCATTAGATGATTTCTTAGCCAGAAAGAAAAACACAGAAAGAGAATGAGATTTTGATGGAGCATTGAGGAGGAGGAGAAGGAGAAGAATAATATCGGAATCCAAATTCTGATAGGTTAGTGGATTGCATTAAAGGAGTCAGATGCGAGTTCTAAGTTCAACCCAATAATTTGTCAGAAAGAAGCCCGGAGTGACGGTTATCTTGCTCCGAATTCCGATAGGTTAGTGGATTGCATTAAAGGAGTCAGATGCGAGTTCTAAGTTCAACCGGCCAATACTTTGTCAGAAAGAAGCCTGGAGTGACGGTTATCTTGCTGACAGAACCTGATCGGGTTAAAGCTTAAAAGAAATCAAGTACTGTAGATTTTTTTCACTAATTTTCAACCATGAGATTTAAAAAAAAAATCATTTTTTCCTTATAATTTAAGTTTAGCCTCTAATTAATTTTTATAAATCTAATTACTCTCAATTTATTTCCAAATTCATATATTTATTCTTTAATCTATCCTTATATCAAATATAAGGATTCAAATTAATGTATCATATTTAAGAAAATAAAACCCATCCTAATTTATTTGAATAAATAAATAATTTTTAATATGATATAATAATAATTTTTATTAAATTAATTATCCTTGAGTTTTCTCAAGTGATGGTACTTCTGCACATTTAGTCAGAAATATTTATTAAAAAATTAAATTGAAGAATGATTTAAAATAAAAGGATAAATTAAAAGCAATTAGAATTTTAATGATAGATTTGATGCTTTTAAGCCATAATAGAATTAGAAAAAACTAAGGAATTTGAAAACATTTAATAGACAGAAAATTTAAATTGGGATTATATTTATTAAAACGGTTGTTTTTTTTATTTATGAATTGTTTTTTGAAGTTGAATAAAAGGATAAACTAAAAGAAATTATAATTTTAATGATAGATTTGAGGCTTTTAATCCATAATAGAATTAGAAAAGTCTGAGGAATTATTTGAAAACATTTAATAGATAAAAAATTTATTGGGACTATTTTTATTAAAACAATTGTTTTTTTAATGATTTTTTTCTCAAGTTAACCTAGTTTAATTCAACCATATCCATAGTGTTTAACCGAGTAAATTTCTTCTATGATTTATCTTGAAAGCAAATCAAAATAAGTTTTAAATCCCAAGTTTTCCGATTTAACCTCCCGGCGAAGCTGAGTTTAACCATTACTATCTGAATGTGCTATTTCTTTTCTGGGCAAGGTGTGGCTCGGTGTGTTCATATTCTAAGCTCATGGCTCTTTGTATTTATTACAATTACTGTTAAAGTATTCATCATTATCTTAAAGATTTCTTAACATCCAATATAAGATAAACTTCTGACAGCTAAGATTTTCTATCAGTATCAAAAACGGTTTGGTTTTCCTCAGTGTGCCTCTATATAATTAACGGAGCCCTCTCCTTAAAAAACAAAAACCCTTGCGAGACACAGCTTTCTTTCTCAGCTTACTCGCTGCTATTTTTTCTCGCTGTTAAGATCACAAGCCTATTCTTGTTTGCACAATGCAAAACATTCTTTCTCGCTTACTTCCAGGATACAGGTTCTGCCCCACTGAGGAACAGTTGATCTGCTATTATCTATACCAGAAGGTCCGTGGAGGTTTACCCAGCGAAGCCGCCACCATGATCAAGGACTACAATCTTCACGGTGGAGAAGAACCCTGGGAAATATTCGACAGGCTCGCAGGTCACAAGGAAGGTGATCATGTTCTCTATTTTTTTACAAAATTGGGTAAAAAAACACTCAATTGTACTAAGGGGATGAGTAGAACTGTTGGTGCTAATGGCGGTACGTGGCATGGTGGCAGCGTTGATGTAGTGAAATCTAGACGAGATAATAGAGATATTGTTATAGGAATGAGGAGAGGATTCCTTTATCAGAACCATCGACGACCAGACCAGCATGGTCGTTGGATACTGACGCAGTATGGTTCAGATTCTATTTCTGAAAACGTTGTGATCTGTAAACTCAAGATCAGTGGCCATGGTCTTAAAGAATCAAGAAAAAGGAAGTCGATGGATTATTCGTCAGAAGTTATTCAAAGAAATATCAATATTGATGCGGCAATCAACTCAGGACCTACAATGGCACAATTAACACATCAAGAACCGCGGCGGATTATCCAAAATCAGGAGATGTGGCCTCTGGTGGGAACTGTTTCAATTGAGGACAATGGAGGTTCCTCAGCTACTGGAGATACTTTCTATAGTATTCAGAATATGGGACTTGAGGCGCCGGCAATTGTCAACATCGAACCTGCCTTGCGATTCCAGCCCCAGCAAGCAAACTTCATTCAAGAACCAATGATTAGTGAACATCAACAGATGGCGTTTGCAAGTTTCAGTGATAATCAGAAGGTGCTTCAGTCAGAAGCTGTCTTTGATGGTTATGAAAGGAGCCAGAATATTGTTGAGAGTTTCTACGAGCATCCAATAATCAGTTTTGAACCTATAACGCCGCTCGCCGAAGAATCTATCATCATCGAAAATGAGGAGATCATGGGGCTTGCAACTTTCTCTACGGAAGATTATTTTGAGAATGCATCAGCAATCGTCAACATTGAGCCAACGACAACTAATGAAAATCAACATATGGTGCTTGCAAGCAACATTAATGGTGATGAAGGGGTTTGTCCTACTGGTGACAATGCGGCAACTTTTGAGATCATGGGCCTTGGAATGTGCCCTACGCAAGATTCTTTTGAGACAATGACGTCAGCTAATGAAAATCAACAGATGGAACCTGCAAGCTACAATGGTGATGGAGGGGTTTGTCCTGCTGGTGATAATGCAGTAACTCCTGAGGATGCGGCACCAGCAGTGAGTGCTATCCCTGTTATGGATGCTGGCTTGATCGAGTACTTGAAGAATGAGACCAACTGGTCTGCTAATTTCAAAGCATTATCAGATTTAAGGAGCTTATGGTCATGAAGATGGAAACCTATTTCTCAATGGAGTACTGATTTTCCATGCAGTTTATTTTTTATTTTTTTAATGTATAGTATTATTAGTTAAACAAAAGCTGTAAACTTTCATTTACCCATCAATCAATATATTAGTACTTTTCTTCTTTTTTGTGTTTTTTTATTATTATTATTCGTCTTAAAATTATTCATCACATTTTTTTTTAATAAACATGAAATATAATATACAAACAATTAAAACCTGATTTGATTTTTTATTTTTTTTTAAATAAGTTTTTTTTTACTAACTAGGGTTAAATTGTTTTATTTTTTGACAAAAAAAGAATCTTAAAATTAACTCGGCTAATACTCTCTATTAGATCAACTTGATCATGGGTCAACCCGCAGTTTAGCTGATAGATTTTAATTGGACTGTTTCTTTCCTTCCTTCTTTATCTAGGGTTTATGTGATTGCAAATTAGGATTTCCGAGAAAGAGCAAGCAAACAATTACAAATGGCTCTTCCTGTCTCTGTACCAATTTCCTCTTCATCTTCTTTATATGGTGTTTCATCAACCAGGATCACTCTTGGTCTCCCATGTAAGTCTCTCTCTATCACCAATTTTAGCTCCTACTCTGTTTCTAGGAAAGATGTTGAAAAGGGAAAACAGGGGGCTTGGTGAAGAAAATGAAAAGGAATATTTTTTTTCCTTTTTGGGTTTTCTTTCAAACGCGATTTGTGCATTTTCCATTGTTTGGTTGAACTTTTAGATTTTAGGTATCCTGGTTTTGCCTCATCCA